TGCACTATACTATTGGTTTCTTCAGTGTTAAAAGGGCTAGGTCACGTCGTTTCAGATAACTCACTTCATTTTTTATTAACTATGAGTTCTGAACGTCAAATTGGTCGAGTAGTAGTCTTTTATTGGCAAAATTCTGACCACATATCAAAGGAGGATATTCTCTGATAATAACACGTTCAGATACAAATTGACGTAGATTTGAAAAAAAATTGGACTGATGTTTTTCAAGTTTCTCAAATTTTGCCTGGTGTATGACATTTGGAGACTGCAGAATGCAAAATGCAAACTACATCTGGACCAAAATAGCACTCTGGTTTATAGCCCGTTTACGGTCAGCTCTCGGTAAATGAGTCAGAAAGTCTGCAGTCTGCAAATGTCATACACCGAATTTGGCCCATCCATGCCCTTTTTTCTGTTCTCTCTTTCTTATGAGCTCTTCTACAGTTTTAAGCCGTTAGTGTAATATTTCAGTAATTCTATGTCCAGTAAAGTTCTGGCTGTTCTTGTAAAATCTTTTCATATTCTCCGTCTGAGTTCAGGTGCAGAAAATGAGATGAAAAAGACAGAGAGCATCTGGACGACGCACTTTAGAATCTTGGAGTCTGATCTCATTCTCACTTGTAAATAGTGTAAATGGCTTATCCCTACCATCGCTACCTTGTGTCAAAAGGCGATTTACATGAAGGCGTCATTTTATTACAACTACCAGAATCCTTCACTTTTTCTGTTTCTTATGCTAATGAGGGCAATTGTTATTTAAACTCTACTGGGGCTTCAAAATTTAAATAACAAAGAAAAAAACCAAGGGAATTCTGATAGTTGTAGTCAAATGACAGCTAATGACGATATCGTGCAAATTTGCTATTACAAAAAGTCACCTTGGTATATCCAGATGGTTGGTAATGTTTAAAGTAAGATCCATCAGCGCTGTATCTAAGTGTGTATTCCTTAACCCATTGGTATCCATAGTCTTGTCGACCTTGGGTGGCGATTCGTGTGATCACTGTCTCGACTCCAAAGTCAACCTGAAGCCACTGATAGTGGTTTTGCTTCTGTGCTACCCAGGCTCCCCGGCGGCCACTTTCCGCATAGAAGTGAAGCCTGGCATTTTCAGGCCCAGTATCACTGTTATACTGTGAGGACGCTGATAAGGCTGAATTTGGTAGTTTGTCGTTTTGCATTCCCAGTTGAATCTGGCAAGGGGGCACTGGGGGAATAAGGAAGCCTGCAACGCAAATTTGGGAGGCTTAATCTATGTATCCGCAACTAATAATAATAATAATAATAATAACAATAATAACAATAATAATAACAATAATAATAAGCTTAAATTGCGAAGATATAAATATAACATTTCCAGCTGCGCATTACAATGTTTAAGAAAATATAACTACTTATAAACCCTTAATATACTTTAAAACATCTCTAATACAAGTTCTTGTTAAAATAAACACCACTGATTATGATATGCACTAATAAAATCAAAAAACTACTACATGTTTAGGCAATTTCCTTTCTAAACTTTTACTTGTGATAGGAACTGGAAATCAATTCTTGCCCTCAGTTACGTTATCATTAAGATATTTTGACGCAACGTTTGTCGTTAAAAGATAATTTTTTAGCTGGCTCTATAATGTAAATTAAAATGATATTTTTTCGATTGTTTACGTCATATTGCGTCTCCTAAGCATCGTGACCGTCATATTACAGACCTCTTAGCCTTGCGTATGACCAGGAACCGAAGATTGATTTATAATGATTATTGCTAACACTAATATATAGCTCAATTTCTATTAACATGAGCAGTTTGGCTTCACAGACTTTTTTAAAAAATAATATTAGCTATTTTTGTCGACTATTTTTACAGGTGACTGGTTTAACACAAAACGCATGATTGATTATCCCAGTTATAGTTTTGTAATTATTTATGGAAATCTCGGGAAAAGTTAAAAACAATAGCAAATACACGATAAATCAAAACATTTTTAGATTGGTTATTATACTGCCTTAATAAAACGTCAGGATTCAAGTCAATGGTGATTGTCGATTCGGAGTTAACAACAGAGGTGAAAAAAGTCTTTTACCAACCTTCTGTGCATCCGAAAAGTTCAAATCGTAGAGCCATGTAGCTTTTATACTCTTTGGGGTGGATTCGTATGTACCGCGCAATGATTTCTGGATTGAGAATGTGTCCAACGATTGTATTGGAGTCTTTATTCCCAAAGAGAACCTAACAAGAAATTAAATTAAACTAAAACTCACAGAAGCATCACTATTAGTATAGTTAACGGGTAACAATAAACTAAATGCGGCTTGCATAATAATCTCTTTAACTGAATACATTAAAGATGTAACTGTTTCTTTGAGCAGTCATTAACTTTATTATCATATTTCCTTTGTCACTATCAAATAAATTCATCAAGTATTCACCTGGTTGTCATTGTAAGGAAGGAATGGACCTCCAATGACGCTGTAGCTGATGGAATAGCTTTTCACCCACTGAGCTGCATCTTGTCTCCCCTGCGTTGCTAAACGTGTGATCTTCGTAACTTTTCCAAGATCAACTTGAATCCACTGTCCAATGTCCTGTGTCCTGGGAACCCACGCTCCTATGAAGCTCCCTGACTTCACCGTATCAAGTCTGGCGCGTTCTGGACCAGTGTACTGATTATAGATTGTGGTAGCAGTAATAGCACTGTCTGGGATTTTTCCACTTTTTATTCCAAGTTCTGACTGGCATTTCAGTTTTGGTGGATCAAATCCTGGCACATATGTAAAAACATTCATCGAAATAAATAAGCTCTTGATCAAAAGGGTATCTTTGTTTCCAATGATTTGCTTCATTATCATAGGCAATTCAAATTCAGATTGAGATACCAAAAAAATTACTGCAAACAGACTTTTACAACTTTTTCTTCAAACTTGGCGAGCATTTTGTTAAAAAAGTACAATCATATTTAATCAAAGCGGTGGATCCGAAAAGCTACCACGAATGAATTGTCAGGCATACTTTGCGATGGTCACTCTTTAATCAAGTCACTTAATATATACAAAGTCATCACATTGCAGTCGTATGCTAAGACGCATTTTTGCTGAGATGAATTCGCTATTCTCACCTTTTCTGCAACCATAGAGCTCAGCTCTCATTGAAATATGAGACTGCCACGTTTCTGGATGAATACGAATGTAGCGAGTAATGATGGGCGTTTCCAGATCGAGAGTGACAGGTGTATATCGATCATTATTTCCGGGAAATATCTAAAAAGAAAATAAAATAATGCCACGTCGACGCATTAATGAGGGCATGTTACTCACTGTTACTCGCGGCTCTCCTGTAAACATGTTAGTTACCATATGAAAACCATCTCAAGGCGTAGTTTGTCATGTTGGTAGCAATTTGAAATATTGGTATTATGCGATGTATTTTGCTCTAAGGAGGATGAACAGGGAAATTAACAAACCTTTAAAAGATTGCAGTAAATGATTTCTTTCGGTCCTTATTCACTAACACTACCTTATTTAAAAATTATGACTCACTCAAGTTGGCAAGTTTGCATATGAGTCAAATCATTGTGGTTATCTTCGACACCTGTCAGTTATTGCTTTTGGTATGTTAGTTTTCGGAGCTTCCAGCTGCACGTTGTCCCAAATCTTTCAATGTAATTGGTCTGAATTATCAATGGGGTCTTCTTGTAAAGTATGAATGAGAAAAAGCTCTTCTGTTTTGAGACTCGTAAAACCGCGCCTCTATCAAGGAGACTGACGTTACTTTGAAAACGACGGTACAGTTTAACGCCCCGTCTGCACTACGTTGGTGAAATTTGAAAACGATGTTTTCATTCTAAAAACGCATCAAATGTTTCCGTCCACACTACGCCGGAGAAAGTAAAAGACGCAACACGTAACCGGTCATTTTGGATTTGTGTTTGAAGAAAATGAGGGCAGAGAAATCACATGATCATCGTGACGCCATCGTGTTTGAAAAGCTCGGTTTTCAAAATATTTTCCATCCACACAAAAATGCAAGGCCGGCGTTTTCAAGTTTCTGTGGTTTGAAGAGCGTCTTCGAAAAGCTCCCTTTTCGTAACGCATTAGTGTGAACGGTAGGGCCTTGCCGTAGACATAAAGCTGCGTTTTCAAATTTCTCCGACGTAGTGTGGACGTAACAATTTGTTGCTCTAACTAATACCGCAAATTTCAAATGTAGTAGGCAGTAAACAGCTGAATTACCTTTTTTACACCATCCTCTTTATAATCTTTGAAAAACACGGCATCGTAGCCATACGAAAGGCTGAAGCTTTTCACCCATTGATCGGCATCTTGTCTTCCTTGAATAGCAACTCGAGTTACTTTTGTCCAATCACCAAAATTTATTTGAAGATACTGGAAGACGTCATTCGTTTTCGCTGCCCACGCTCCATATCTCCCTGATCTAAGCAGGAAATGCAATCTGCCATTTATGGCCTTGTATGCAGCATTGTTTTCACTCGAGGCCGTTATCGCCGAATCTGGAATTCTTCCATTTTGCATTCCTAGGGCATCTAAACACACTGGTGGCTTTGGCTTTGGGAAACCTTTTGAGATAAAAATTATAAAAATATTTATGTCATCAAGGGGAGCAAAACATACAACCAACGCTTCGGTAACAAGGTATCCTGATATAGTAATAGCATAGTTAAGTAATGGTATATCTTTATTGCGCCTTACTCTCCAAAGGGAGGTATTGGTCTAGTTACACTAAAGGTTTGAACGTTAAAAAAAAAAA